GGAGCCTGCAAAGGCAAAAGATTGGTACTGAGATGCTGTTGCAGCCCAGATGAAATGGTACTTGTTTATCAGTTTTTGGAAAAGGGACCATTGCCCCAGACTCCAGACTGGTAACATAGTGTTGCCACATCTCCTTCTTGCTGTACCTCTGTGATGTTGGATCTAGACCATAGCAGAAGTCAGTGGTAAATGCTAAAGCAAATAAGGCACAGTCACTGCTAACAACCTGCTTTTGCACCTTCTCATTAAGAAAAGTGACTGTATTTTGAGGATGGTGCAGCATGAGATAAGCGTGGTTTATTGCAACTGAACTCAGCTTAATGTACAAGCTAGAAAATACTCTAACAATTCCAGCCTGACACCCAAGGGTACTTATGCACACCCAGTGTGCCCCAATGTTGACAATTTGGATGAACTCTGATGTGGCAGGAATAACCATAGGGCCTGTAATAGCTGGATCGTGGAGTCCATCAAAAAGTGGAAAGTGCCTCTTGAGGAATATTTGGCCAGCATATATTTCCGAGTCATGTAGCCAATAGGTGTGCTTCAGTATGCTGTCCCTGCTCTCTTTGTATAATATAAGTTTGGACTGAGGGTCATTAGACAAGCCGTTATCTATTTTGAGACATGTTACTGAATCTTGAGAATCATCGTCATCAACAACAACCAGGATAGAGGAGGTCCCATAAGTGCTTGATCCTGCAGGGCTAGATAACATAGGATCATTCACTGGATCTTGACTTGGACCTTTTATTGTGGCTGGAACTTTGGTAGGGGCAGCTGGTGCTTGGGTGTCAGTTGCTGGTATTGTGGTAGGAGCAGCTGGTACTTGGGTGGCAGTTACTGGTACTGGTACCATGCATACAACTCCAACACTTACTATTCATAACTCAACAACTTCACTAGTAGGAGCTCATTCCTCATTATGGAGGACTGGAAATTAAATGTGTAGAGACTGGTGAGGGAATGACTCCCTTACAGACATACCAAGCCAAGCGAGAGCGACAGTCTGGGAAAAAGAAATCATTCTGTTTAATCAAACATGGTGAGATCCTTCAACTTGACTGACAACATCATTACCATCATCAAGTTCAAGGCCAGTGTGGCATTTCAGGCCTGAGGTGGAGTGACTTTATCCAAATGACTGGTCTGACCCTTGGTGACCAAGGAATACATGTTGAAAGGATCTACTTTGATGAGACATGGCATGGAACTTCACTGCCAAAACTAACTGGTTTCTATTTTAACCACATCATGTCGGCATAACTACAAAAATTTAATTATTGCAAATAATCATACAATCTAAATGTAAAAGAAATGGAAAATTACTAAAAAATTCAATTTCTTATCAGAATTTTTTTTAATTTAGTGTCAGACCCAACATCATCCTCAATCCCAGTCATTCTCAGTGCGTAGTAAAATGTGATGTCACCTATTAAGCTGATTGGAAAGATTCGCAATTATTCCTGCAAAAACTTTACTCACTCACAAAAGGTGTTAATGCCAAGGAATAAGGCTGACGCACTTGACAGTTTTTTTTAATTGTTTGCACTTGGCAATATATTTCTACATAAAATATATTAAATTTCACACGGCAACCAGGTGGACAATCAGACATAGTTTGAAGCTACACTGGTTTGCAGATTTAATGAATGTAACCGAAGAAGTTACAATTCATAGACCCAACGTTTCGACACTCCTGTCTAGTGCCTTCATCAGGGGTGATCTAAACGCTGCAACAAGAGGTCCTTTTATATGATCACTAATTAGCGGCCTTTTTTTTTCTGACGAGGTGTAAATAGGCGTCAGGAAGCAGACCGACATCGTCACGATTTAAAGGAGCGTAGGCGGAGTTAATGTGCCAAGCCTCCAAACAAAGGCGCTGGTGGTAACGCCGATTAGTGGTGATAATTTTAGAATTATCCCACCCAATTGTATGGTTGGTTAGGCAAGTATGCTTCGATAAAGCTGAATTTTCCTTTTTGCAAAGAAAAACCGCTTTTTGGTGCTCTTTTAACCGTGTACCAAACTGGCGTTTGGTCTGTCCGATGTATTCGTTGTCACAGTCATTGCAAGGAATAGAATAAATGGCGTCGGTTCGTTGTTCTTTCGTGACAGGATCCTTAGGTTTGGCGAAAATATGCCCCAAAGTCTGAAAAGGTTTTTGAGCAACTTTAACGTTGTGGCTATTCAAAATTCTCTTGATGGGTTCAGTAACACCCTGTATGTAAGGAATAACAGCAAAACCAGTCGCTGGTTCCCTTTCATCAAGAGCGTTACTATTTGTAACTGGTTTTTGGCAGTTACGGAGAAAAGCTTTTGTATAGCCATTTGCCTTTAGGACATTGGAAACATATTTCCTCTCCTCAGCCTTCGAATCGAGTGATGATGGTAGACAGTCAGCCCTCCTAAGTAAAGTTTTGGCTACAGACTTCTTATGGCAAATAGGATGGTGAGAATCGAAAGCGAGGTATTTGTCGGTGTGGGTGGGTTTACGGTAGACACTTGTCTCTAAATTACCCTGAACCCCTCTGGACACATTTAAATCAAGAAAGGGCAAATGTCTATCCTTTTCACGTTCAAGGGTGAATTGGATCGACGGCTCTACTGAATTCAAATGCGACAAGAGGCGCTCCGCTTCATTTCCGGATACCGCAGAAATAACATCATCGACATATCGTTTCCAGAAAAAGGGTTTAACCAGTGAAGTGGCTAAGGCCCTTTGTTCCACGTCTTCCATTACCATGTTAGCAATGACAGCAGAAACAGGCGAACCCATAGCTGTACCAAAAACTTGTTGATAGTATGTGCCGTTGTATGTAAATTGCGTAGTTTTGAGGCAAAAAGACAGCAGATGAATAATATCCTCCACAGGCAAAGAAGTTCTTTGTCCTAGGGAAGCATCTTCTCTGAGTCTTTCCTCCGCAACCTTAACGGCAAGATCAACTGGGATTTTAGTGAAGAGCGAAACAACGTCGAAAGATACTAATTCTTCACAAGCGTCAAGAGTTTTATCTCTTATGAAATCCGTAAATTCGCAGGAATTTTTGACAGTGTAATCAGTATTCCCAACAACAGGCGACAAAATTCTCGCAAGATAACCAGAAATTGCATAAGTCGGAGAATTAACAAAAGAGACAATGGGTCTCAAAGGAATTCCCGGTTTATGAATTTTAGGTAAGCCATAAAAACGTGGACATAAGCCGTCACTACTGTATAACATTTTGTACGTAGAGTCACTAATTCTGCCAGCTTTTTTCAAATCAAGCAACATTTTGTTCAACTTTCTTTGAGTTTTACTGGTAGGATCAGAGTTTAAGACAGCATACGTACTCTTGTCATTGAGCAGAGACAAAGCTTTGTCGTGATATTGCTGTTTGTCCATAACCACAACACAATTACCCTTGTCAGCAGATAATACGAGCCTGTCCGGATCCTTTTTGAGAGTTATAAGCGCATTGAAAACATCCTTTTGAATGTTTTTGGGAGGAGGTTTAGCACGCCTGAGTATGCTACTTACTTCTGCTCTTACCAAATGCCTTCGATCGTCGTCGAGTTGAGAGATACTCTCCTCAACAGCGGCGACAATTTCAGCGGTCGGTATTTTGCGAGGAGCAATAGCAAACTTTAGACCCTTCTCTAAACCACTCCGTTCCAGCGCGGATAATTCCTTGGAGGAAAGGTTCATGACCCATTTATCTTTCAGAGATGAGCCTGAATTAACAGGAGACCTCTTACTGAGCAAGTGACGGAGTTTTCTGTCATGTTTCTCTCTCTGTTTGGTAAACGTCTGCAGTTCTTTCGAATTGCAAAACTCCTCGACCCAGGAAGTTTCGGAGTTGTTAATCAAAGCAGAGAGTTCACTCAGTGAACTCTCTGCTTTGAACTCCATATTTCTACATGTACATATGAGACTTTAAATCTTGTAGTAATGCTTTTATAGAGCAATTAAATAACTATGGAATTCTGCAAATTGCACTTTTTACTGAAATATTACTGTTTTAGTATGAACCAGACCTGTGGATAGCTCCTCCCAATAATTATATGTTATTTGCCGGCTGGGAAGTCCGTATGGTGAAAAACTGTGACCGAGGTCTTGAAAATGCCGAGGTCACAGTTTTTCACCATACGGACTGACCCTTAGCCGGTAAATAACATATATATATTTTTTAAACTGAACTAAATACATTCCGAAAGAACCCGAATGATTTAGGGCTATAAATACGGCAAGATCTTCCATAAACTTAACAATTTTTGAGCGAGTAAACGGTAGTTAAAATAGAGGTGATGCAAATTAAAGAGAGATGCTTCACTGAAACATTTTCACTTGCGTAACGGTAAGTACTAAAACAAGGAACGACCTAAAACCTCCTACAACCACCTCAAAAATTTCAACAACCACCTCAAAAACATCTACAGCCAGTCGCAAACAATCTAAAACCATCTAAAACAAGGCATAAATGTCTAAAGTAAGGCGAGACGACAACATGTCACGTACATGAAATACGAGAATCGAACAAAACCACTACCTCCCCCTGAAGTCTTACTCTCGCTGGTCTCTTGTATAATCGACCATCTCACGAAATGAGATGCGAGAGCTTGCTAATTATATTTTATATTCCCTCAGTAGTAAAAGACTTTTTCAACGTCTCCACCCGTCCACCTACCTAGCAGACTGGGAAACCCGCCTAGGCGGGTCACCCCACCTATCATGTAAACGTGATCAAAATAAAATAAGAAATTATATGGACAGGCGCGCTACCCCACCTAGGCAGGTTACCTCACTTGCCTGGGGTCCTCCATCTCCAGGTAAACAGGCCCTTACAGAGGTCAATGGGACACCAAACAGGTAGCTGGAAACTTGATGAGGTTGCGTAACATAACATCAGGGGCGAGCGTACAACAAAGAAAACAAAACAGCTCGGGCTCGTTAAGGCGCGTTAAGGCATGGCTGCTCAGGATGATAAAATCCCCCCCGCGAAGTCAATCGCGCCAAGAGAAAAACATTTCAAAATGGCGGCAAAGATAGCGGACATTGTGGCACATCGAAGTTTCGGAAACTCTGTCGCTCTCTTATATTCTGAGGCTTGTTTGTGTTAGAGGTCTGGAATCACTTGGGAAGAATATGTAGGTAACAAATTTTTTATCACTGCTTCCTTTTTAACGTTGTTTAAAGGTGTTGTTTGTTGCGCGTCCTTCGATTGAATTCAGTGTGAGTTCGATCAGACTAGATCATTCTAGGCTTTATGCGTTTGTTGACCGACAGGAAAGCTGCGTATTACTTTCATCGCTGAGCAGGTGTTAATTTAGTTCCACGCTTTTTTAATTCAATATGTTTCGGACGAAGCGTGAGAAATTGAAATTGTTTTGTGTTGTTAGAGAATCTTTCTTTTGATCAGCGTAACCTGTGTTAAGGTCCAACTTACAAACGTGGAGAGAAAGGGACATTTGTAAGAAGAAAAGCATTTTGTTAGCTTAAGTTAAAATCATGTTTCGTAAAGGAATTTATGATTTAGTTCTGAAAAAAGAATTCTGGTGAACCATTGCCCTTTTATCAAAAGTCCTAATATGAAAGTTAACCATGAGAACTAACAATACAGTCATTAGTTTCAAAATCACTTGAGTAGATTTAATTTGCTCGACATTATTCATCATGCACTTGGCAAATGTTACATTTTGAGCTCATTTTGTTCAATGAATCCTTTAGAAGCATAAATAAATTAATGACTTAAAATTGCTGTACTAAATTAAACATTGCAACATGATTAATCATGTGAATGAAAGTGATCCTTGCAGTCATGTGCACTACTTAGGCAGTAGAGAAAATAAGGCCTGAAAAAAATTCAGGCCTGTACGGGATTTGAACCCATGACCTCTACGATACCGGTGCAGCGCTCTACCAACTGAGCTAACAAGCCAATTGGGAGCTGGTCATGATGTTGGTTCTAAATAAACCCGTGAAGTGATGAAATAAACGGTTGTTTCAGGCCTTATTTTCACTACTGCCTAAGTAGTGCACATGACTGCGAGGATCACTTTCATTCACGTCTTTATCCGCGGTTCAAATATATGACTTTCACATGATTAATCATGTTGTTGCTGTTCTTTTTTTAGATTTCTACCATGCTACATTGCCTTCAGTTATGTTCCAGATCTACATACATGTAGGATACTCATATTTATCAGTTGGATTGTTATACTAAAGTTCCTCAAAATGGTATGTATTAAATAGTTTTTTTGGTGCTTTTTCATGCTTACAGTGCATGTGGAACCCACTTCTTTGGACTTAATGTTGAGGACTGTAAATATTAATATTATTATTTTCAGGGCTTGGAAAAATATTATGCAAATCACAAAATATCAGCATGTATTATACGTTAAAACATTGAATAATTTGAAGTGTTTATTTAGGAAGGTGAATGGTGATCTTCCATATTTTCAGTAGCTCAGTGGCAACTTTATTTTTCCTCCATGTTTTTGCTATAACTGGATCTTTTTTCATGTGGTTTTCTGTGGGATTTTTTTTGAAGACTTTCTTGAAGTTGGCTGACCACTCAGTAATTGCTTCATTTATGTCCTTGTATTTCTTAAGAACTTGTACTTGAATGTGTGCCAGGTGATTTAAGAAGTGTTCTTTGTGGTATCTTGAGCTTGAATTTTTTGTTGCATTTTTTTTAAGTTTTTCATATAACATAAGATCTTTGGTTGTGCCAAGAATCTCTGAAAGAGCTTTTGCTGTTTTGCTGGATGGTAAAAAATCTTCAGATAATTTTGGTTTCTTAGCCAGTGGTTCACCTGTCTCATTTTGCACTGTTTCACTCAGCTGCTGTGGTTCCGGAATCTGATTATTTTCTAGGTTTTCAGTACTCTCTTCTTCATCAATGAATAGAGTTGTATCTTCAGTTTCTTCTTCACATTCACCATCACTCTCAAATGACTGATCTTGAACTGGCAGATTCTGTTGCATGCATTCTTCTCCATTATGGTTTTCTTCATTGGGAATTCTGGTAGCTGGGATTTTGATTCCGCTTTGAATGCATTCTTCCCAGCAGTGTTGAAGGAAAATTTTCTCCATTCTGATATTGGAGGAGCAAAAGTGGTGAAGGGAAGGTCTTTGCTCCCTGAATTCAATTTCCTCAGGACCATCAAAGAACTCAATATAGAGTTCAATATAAACTCCTTACTCCCAGTGCCTAGCATGTGTGTTGATGACATCTTTGGGTAAAACTGTGTTTCCCAGCTTTGGTAGGGCTTTGCTGATGTTGCTGATTTCCTTTTCTTGCCTGATGATGCAGGTCACAGCTGTGTTTCCTCCTGAAGTCTTCTCTGCTTGCATATGCAGAACTGCATTGCTCACCAAGCTTTCAACTCGGTTGTTCCAGGTCTTCCTGGTGATGTTGGTCAGCTCCTCAAACAACCTCTCAAACATTTCTGCATTAGTTGAACGGTGTGAAGCAAGACGAAGAAGAAAGGCGGAATGAGATACACATGCATGGAAGTATATGCCAAAGAGCTTTCTGCTTGTTAGGGCTCTAGTTGGGGTCATCACTTTTCGGCACAAAATTGCATGCCTCCAACACAGGTTATGCAACCTTAATATCAACTTTGGTGACCTCTTTCTGTCCTGGGCATAAAAAATTTCCGCCATTTCGCACAGGGTGGCCAGCAAAGCTCTCACATCATGGGTTGTTGTCTGGTAAAGGGCTATAGTTAAGTAGATTAGTGTCTTGCGATAATCTACTCCTCGTTTTTTCTCTTTGTTGAGTTGGACAGCCAGTATTTCTTTAAGTTTTATCAGTGTATCGATGTCAGAAATGTGATGTGGGATTTCTTCCAGAATGTTTTTAATGTGATTCATGGAGCAGTGAAGAGCTTCAAAACACAGTACCTCATAGGACTGGAGGTTGAGACTTTCCACAGAAACACTCTCATCCCCAAACAACAGTGCTGGAATTCTTGTTGCCCCTCCAAGTTCTTCATTTAAAATTTTTGCAAGTTCTGGTTTGGTTTTGTCTGAATCTCCAAGTCCTCTTGCTTCAATTTCAGCTCGTACATCATTGACCTTGAGATCTTTAAATGGGTTCAGGAGTTGTTTTGCCTCTTTTCCTTTCCTTCCTGCTAACACCAGTTGTTGCCATTCGGTCAATGTTCTGTACTTTCTTTGGGCCATGTAATCTAGATTGTGGCACATGCTTAAATGCCCATCACAACCTGGGCAACCATAATGCCCTCCATGCTGACTTCCACATTCAAAGTTTGCTGCAGGGTTGTCTCCATTCATGAATCTCATCTCATCTTCTACTTCAACATCCTCTTCTGTTTTCACTTTTTGGGTTAAATTTACTAAATCATCATGTCTGGCTGGAACAAATTTTATCTGATCTTCAATGCTGGAACTGCTCTGCCCCAGCATATACAGATAGGGCCTCTCCACTGTTGCCTGGACATCCACATCTTTTCCATATTGAACTCTAGCTTCTGCATCTGAGAGATGAATTGCTGGGTCATACATCTCTCTCACACAAAAGAGCATGTGACCATAATTTGAAAGGGTTGAATGGTCATGCCAAATCAGCCAATGCCTCTTCCGCTGAAAGCGTTTCAGCCTTTGTTTGATTTCATCATGTGTTCCCCTTATACCCTCACTGGTCTTCTTTAGCTCTGCATGAATCTCACTTTGACTGAGCTCTTCATAAAACGCATTATTTTTTATTCGAAGGAGGTCTTTGTTTTTAATCAATGCTTCTTTTCTAATGTCTTGGAAGGGAATTTTCCTTGCTTGCAAGTGGCATTTTTTCTGCTCTATCTCTCCCTGTGCATTTATAGCCAATTTGGTAATCTCTCTTTCTATCACTGGCTCTCCTATGTTAAATTTGCCACTCTCTATTCCCTCATGGATGCTTTGCTTGAGTTGTTTATTTGATTGCATCACAGGCACAGAAATTTCTCCCCCCTTTTGCTTCCTCATAGCTCTGCGTACCCTGAATCCTGGAAAATTAATCAAACCTTTTCTTACATGAGGCTAGAGAAATGATAAAAACCCATGAAAGTATTATAGGGTCACATATTCATCATTAACTTGATTGTTGTATGCATTCTTATTACTTTAGGCCTTCTTCTTCTACTTCTAAATTCTAAATTTTAACTCTTAAATCTCGCTGTTCTTTAATTAATAAATCAAATTTTGTTCAATCCTAATACACAATTTCTTTCGCTTATAAATGAAATGAGATGTTACTCTCCACTGTCGGCTTAGTTACAAATTTACCACTTTTTTTACTTGTAAGGCCATCCTCTGAATTGAGATGCACTTCTGATGGGGGCTTAATCGGGCAATGTCTACTTTTTTTGACTTTAAAAAGGCTTTGACTAATTGCCCTCCATTGCCAGGTGTCGAATCACTTCCCTTGGTTTTGATGTTGTACATTCTGGCTTTTTCTGACCAGTTTGGAGGACCATCAGGCCATGACTCTACATCTGCAAGTAGCTGGTCCAACTTTCCTTCTATGTTAGCAGGTGAAGCTGTGTGGGATCGTTCCCTGACCTTTGGTGGGGTCGTTTTTGCTCTCTCCTCGGCCTCTTCAAAGGTTTCAAAGGACAGGGCCATTCTTTGGATTTGTCTTGAACTGTAAGACTGACGAAGGCTAAGGTGAACTGCACTGTCATTTTGTGACATTTTGGTCTCTAGTTCTTTTTTTGTTTGCCTTTGCTCATTTCTCTTCATTTTTTTCTTTTCAGCAGGTGAAGGCTTCTTTTGAAGACCCTCTTCAGGGACAAGCACTAGAATGTCACTTAGTGATTTTTGAAAGTTTTCCTGGCATTTTTCATTGTAAGTGGCATATATTGCTTCCCCAATGCTTTTTAATTTCCTTTTTGTGACCTTAGGTTCTCTCTGACATTGTCTCTTGACATTTGTGTTAAGTTCAGTCAGAGGTCCTTTCCTAGCCCCTCTGCAAAACTTACTTATAGGGAAGGTAGATTGTAATTGAGAGTTGAATAAAAGACAGGCCTGGCAGCTGGTCAATGAGTGATCTTTTTTCCCTTCTTTACTAATTACTTTGCCCTCATTCCAGTTCATTGAGGAAAATGCTGTTAGGTATGCTTCTTTTTCGGTTTTACTTCTCCAGTTGTAAAATTTTTCATCAATGGTTCTGTAATGCCGCATGAAGTCTTCCCGTTTTATGTGTAGCCCAGGGTATTCTTGAAAATGTTCATTGAAGATTTTAAATCTATCTTGCAGCAATCTAGCAGCAAACTTTGTATTTCCTTCACCGGGAATCCTTTCAGTTTTGCTTAAACTTTTAGTTTCTCTAAGAAACACTCTTGCCCAAGCACAGTCAATCTTTAAAGACATCTTTGTTGCCTTGGCAGAGGATATGGGATTTGATATTGTGTTCTAATTAAACACAAGTTGGAACTCTCCACGCTGCTACTTGAACTAGCTAACTGCTCGAAATTTAAGACAAATTGCACGCCAAAAACTAAGGAGCTCATGTAACATGTAATACGAGCCGCGTTTGCGGGCCACTTTATTCATTCATGAACTAATATAAAGTCTACGAAGGTTTGAATGGACCATTGCCATTCATCATCGATTTTTTTATTAAAGAATCACGGAAATATTAAGAAAACACTACCTTGAAATGTATTTTGTAGCCTAGAAGAACACTGTAAATGGCTGTTAGGCACCCTAAAGTTAAAAACGACCCGATTTAATCTTAATTCGAGAGCTCGAAGAATCCTCTCCTTCGACCGCCATCTTGAAGTCTGCTTTTTAGTCCATAGTTCATTTCACCATATCCTCCAGAAAAAGGGCATAAATACAATTAAATTCTTCCCCAGGGGAGAGGGATTCGAAGTTTCTGTTTCAGTCTCCCAACGGCCGTGAAACAAAATGGCGTCCGAATCGGAACATTGTCGAGTGACGACCTATTTTGCGCCATGGGGGAAAGAAAATCGATTCAAGTGTGAAAAATTTCAACATACGTTAGTTCTGCTGAACTTCTTCTTCTTGTTTTAGCCTTGCAATGTTGACCCCAAAGCTCGTAACCATTAAGAATTTAACGTAAAGACCCTCCAAACTGCTGCCGTGAAGATTTCCTGACTTTTGCCTATTCATCCACGGACATATGGCTGATGCCGACGCCTTTGCAGAGCTAACTCTTATGAATTAACTATTCCTAAATACGGTTTGGGTGAACTTGATTCAAATCTTGAAGATTTGGTTTGCCCCATTTCAATTCAAAGTAAGGTAATTAATTTGGGCGTCGTCAAGGGTGACTATAATTTAATTATGGTTGCTATGGCAATGATATTGCATGAAATGATACATAATTTCCATAGTAATAACCTCGCCGAAATTTGTTAAATTTGATCTTCTACAACGACCTGGAATGAAAAAATAATTTTTTTGCCTCGTTTTCACGTTGTAACCATGCCTTAACGTGCCTGAGAATTAGTTTTATAGTAAGTTGGTATTATTCAGAGAAAAAAAAAGGAAATTGACTATGAATAGGAAACCCCGAAAAGGACAGTGACGTTTGAAACGACGATAAACAGAACTTGCAAATCTCGCGAGATGCATGTAGTTTACAAATTCCCTAAAATTACTGCGCTCACAGGCAGCATCCTTACGAGTCCCAAACGCGAAATAGATCGAGTCAATTAGCTCTCGGAACCTATGAGGTGCTTCATACGTGGTTTCCGGTTCCGTTTAGTCTTTATTTTGGCCAGCGTGAAAAGCCTCTGGAGCAGAGTGCTATTCCTTTAATGGCGCTCAGCCAATGACTGGCCTAGTGTAGATTTTGGACTAGAGAGCTGATTGGTTCCTAATGACCAACTACGGGATTTTAAATGTAACAGACGCTGCAATTGGTTGCCGAGAATAGCAACTCCACGGGGAAATACTGTCAGTTGACAGGCGATAAACAAACCATGCATAGTCGATTCCGTAACGGCGGAGGTCGAAGCTTCGAAAAGTTCTGATAGAGCAGTCCAAGAGAGTATTGAAAAGGCTCTAGAAACGTTTGACGAGGTCCAAAACTTACGTGCCGAGCAAAGTGATAGCGAAAGTAATTATATTCTCCGCATGGATGTCTTGGCGATGTTGCCGACTGGCTTTGGGAAGTCTTTGTTGTTCCAGCTTATTCCTGGACTCATCATGGGTCATCTCTTCAAGTGCCAGTACATGTAATCACAGTGTGATTGGTTTAACTGTAATTCAATAAAAAAAGGTCAAAGCTCAACAGGAACGGAGGTTTTCTAGCGGCCTATACTTCTATAAGTAGCGGCCTTCGGCTGCCGAAGTGCAATATCCCCCGCGCTGTAAAAAAAACTATGGCACCCAGGGTATTCTTGGCATTGATTGCTTTTGATTTCCCCATTGTTACGCACGTTCAGTTCTCTTCCGGTGACAAAGTGGCATCCCGCCAGAAGAACACGGAAATGGAGCCGAATGATTCCCACGGCTGTCAAAATGAATAAAATAAGGGGGACTGAGTTTTTAGGTCTTCGTTTTCGGGTCGCAGGCCTTAGATCAGAGCCTAGGTCCTAGGTTTTTGGGTATTAAGTGTTAGTTTTCAGGGGTCTTGTTTTTCCGAACAACCCTCATCCCAGTACCCCCTTGTTCGAGAAATGCAGATATGGGGATATCATATTACTGTCCAGACAATTAGCATAGAGCACGAGGTTACGTCTGGCATCATCACTCATTGAGACAACACATCAGCGCTTGATCACATCGCGACCTTCCTCGTCCAGGCTGGTCTCTCAAGGCAGCCTTGTCGACTCACTGATGGCTTCATTTCAAGAGGACCCCGAAGGTAAGATATTTTGTGTAGAGAATAATTTCAAATATTGATTTAGGGCTTTTACGATGGCGGCGCCTGAATGTATCACATGATTGTTCTAATTCGTCAAGCAAGAAGGTGGCTTTGCAGCTAACCATTTCTGCAAGTTTGGGTGTACTATATATGAAATCGCCTTATTCTTGACGTGTCACATATTTTGTTGCTCGACTCACGGCCATGTCGGCAGTAACAATTAAGCTGCACTGTGGGAGTGGGTAAAGTAAATTTGCACTCGTCGGTGTTTCCACCGGATTGATGATGATGCGCTCAGCAAGTTTCTAAGGTGCCATGAGCAAGCGCAAGGGTAGGACCTTTTTTCCCAAAGAATAACAAGTCTCGCGCCCGTAAATCTTTTTCCCAAAATCTGTCATAGTTTCGAAATGAATTGTTCTTAGCATTTCAAGACTAAGCTATTCACTATCTGAATCCAAACGAACGCTCTCATCGTTTTTCTCTGGCCCTGGCGCTGACTTTCTTGTGCTTCCTTACAGTCGACCGCGCGGCACTTTGTGTCACTTTCTTTTCATGCAGCAACAAGTCTCGCCGTGCAAATCTCGAGTGAAACATGTCATAAAGAAAGAAGCAGACTCGTGATTTAATAGCCCGTTGAGTGTAGCCTGCATCGCAGACGTAATCCAACCCTGACAAGTAACTCAACGAGGGATTTCGTTTAGTTTGGTTCCCTCTAAATTTGTCGGAGTAACATAGATGGACTGCGAAAGCTACAGTTTATGATTGAAACGGCAAGTGCTTTGCTTCTCGGGATAAACAAAGTGGTAAAATATATTTTGTGGCAATTTCAAGCAATACGATCACACACAGAAGTTTTGCGACACAGGCGATCAACAGAAACATGAACCGGACATGAATGCAACGCTCCCCCAAAAAACGGTTGCGAAGGAGACTAAGCGCCAACGAGTTAAATAAATACGAAATTTTTCCTATTTCATATGCAGCTAAAACACACTAGATTTTATCAGTTGCTTGCACTAACCTCTCGGTAGCATTCCAATTACTATCAGTAACTGCTGGTAAATAGGAGTTTTTAGTCAAGTGGACAAATGAGACAATTAATATCACGATAGCTTACTGCCTGATCAGAACATCCAGTTTTAAACTTCCCGACGTTTGCTCTCGTATCCAAGTTTATGGACATACTGAATGCTGAAAAGATAATCGAAAGGGGAGGGGGCATGGGGGCGGGCGGGCTGAGTTAGGTGCGGGATTACCGAAAATTGATTCAATACTGGATAGATCGAGGCTTGCGCTGTTTTGTTAATCTTTTGTTATTTTATCAAATGCAAATGAGCCGTAGATGATTTTCTGAAATCCCACACCTTAATGATACGACCCCACTCCACCCCTAGAGAGCGGGGCAGAGGGTTGCGTTGTTCGTTGACTGTTGACCCTTTTCTTGGAACTATAATATTGCTTACTGAAATATCCATAAATTGATTTTACTTTTGCCAAACACCTTATCAGTACCCGCACTCGATCTTGTCAACCTAGTTGAATTATTCTGATTGCCCTCTACTAATTTTACTGAACATGTGTTTTGATTTTCAGCAATTGTATCTATATCGATACCTTCTTCTGATGAAGATGAGGCTGGTAAGTAATTATGGCAAATGTTACTTCCGCTTCTTGGATATTCAGCATAGGATATGTGAAGGAGAAAAAATGAGGAATGCTTAATTGAAAAACTGAGCTTCTAATTTGATAGAAAAAAAGAGACAAATAATTCAAACTTTCACATAATTCTGGCGATTGAGAAGGGGATATAGGAAAGTTCCAGAGGGGTAGTGGCAGGAAACACTGACACGTTTGCTTAAGTTTAATAAATTTAGCAATTTTTTAACCCTATAATCTTTTCTCTTTAGACTTTGTTGGATATCTTCCAAGTAAAGCTCTGAAGGTGTGTATATCTTTATTTAAATATTACAGGGTATGTGGACTGCAACACTTTTTAGCCAGTTGTTGATATGTCAGCAAAAAATGCCGGGATCACTAGAAGGTTAACATTTTACGGGGTTTGTGAGGTGGGGCTACTTCAGTGCATGAGTTTACAATTTAAATGTTCATTTTATTAACTTTGACTCTTACTTTTCTTGACTTAGATAGAAGAGTCCTCAAATTCAGAGAATGATGTTTTTACACAGAGGGACAG